TTCACGGATCTTGCTGATGAGGAGTGTACCCATACCTGAGCCAGTACCACCACCAAGGGAGTGTGTAAGTTGGAATCCCTGCAGACAGTCACAGCTTTCTGCCTCCTTGCGGACAACATCAAGGACTGAATCAACTAACTCAGCACCTTCTGTGTAGTGACCTTTAGCCCAGTTGTTACCAGCACCACTTTGACCTACAGGACAAGAAAAATGAAATATTACAACATGTACAAAGGACAAGCAAACACCGACGTAACACACGTGTATTTCATATTAAGTCGGGTAAACGCTAACTTACCAAAAACGAAATTGTCTGGTCTGAAAATTTGTCCGAATGGACCTGATCTGACCGAGTCCATGGTACCGGGCTCCAAATCGACCAAGACAGCACGGGGAACATATTTTCCACCTGTGGCCTCATTGTAGTATACATTGATTCTTTCTAACTGCAAGTCTGAATCACCATGGTAGGTACCAGTTGGGTCAATGCCATGTTCGTCAGAAATTACTTCCCAGAACTGGAAAAAAAAATATGAACAGTGTTATAAATAATTTATTTGTTATTGTGCAACTATGCGATGCATAGGCTAACCCGAGACCTGTACTAATTTTGTCTTCGGATACATATTTTCTGTTGGTGTTTTTAGTTCCATTATCTTGACAACAAAAAATGTCGTCGTTAAGGACGCGATGACGAGGTCGGTAGACGAGGGTCAAAGTTTACTCTAAACGTTGTCCTAGTGATTAGGAAACTCTGCTCCAAATAGCTTTTTGTCATGACTTCCGAAATTTCATGCAAGTGTAGACACGATTATGGAGATTTTCGACTATATACAGTATTACTAATTTAACCCGAAATGAAATGAAATGAACTGCGAGTACTGTTTGACAGCGACAAGAAAACAGATTGCAACTAGTGCAATACGAACCTCAAGTATTCACGTGAACAAAATATTTAAAAAAATAATGTGAAACGTTGTTGCTAACGCTGTTACACGGACGGGATTACAGTTATAGTTAAACAATGACTGAGGTAGCGCTATTGTCACTCCACCGTTTTTTTCTCTCACCAGTTTTAAACTGACCACGACGTGCACACACGTTTATACATGTCCCAATGTTAATATATCTCAACGGTCAGCGTTTATTTAAGCGATCATATTATTACCAAACTGTCAAAATGCATAGCGATAACTTCAGTTTTAATGCAAGGCGACGAATGTTCGCGCTAATCAAAAAGAAAAAAAAAGCGTATATGACTTGATACAGAAACGGTGAAAGCATTACATTCTACATATAATTGAATATTTTACCTTGGCACCAATCTGGTTTCCGCACTGACCAGCCTGGAGGTGGACGATTTCACGCATTTTGGTAGATTCTTTAAAATTTTTAAACTGGTGTAGAGAAGATTTGTGCCGTGTCTTGTTGCTTTGGTCCACAATGAGTTGGGTCGTGGTTCTGGGACATTTGAAAACCACTTGTCTGACTTTGCACTCCATACGCACATGTCCCTCCGCTCTTTTGTAAAATATAGTACGAAGCTTTTCTCTTACTCAAAGTATGATGGTCATGATATTAATTAGTCATTATCATTCATAGAGGGAATTGGAAATATTAGTTGTCATGTTGGGTTGGTTTTTATATATTAAAATAAAAATATTTTTTTTGCCTGCCTAGCAACTGTGGGAAATAATTACAGTCAACAAACCAAGCATGTCGCTTTACACGCTAATATAGGGATCAATGCGCGGTTGTTAACGAGTCAGCACGCGGCGAACCAATCACCATACAGATGGCTCCGTGAACTGATATAGGGGTGGCAATTACATTATAGTACGGGGGTACATGTATTTCGTTTTGTTTTCTTTAAATTTGACAGGCGTCGACATATTTCACTTCAACAATTATTCATGCATGTTTGATTGGAATGGGCAGGTATACATACAGCGAAATTTGTCAAGGTTATTTAAGGTTATTCAAATGTGTTCATGTAGAGTATACCTAAATACAAAATGGAATGATCACAACATTCCATTTCGATCTTGTAACCGGTATAAAACACAAAAGAACACCCGAGCTGCAACAACATTAATCTGGTTTGCCATGACTACTGTCGGTAGCGTGCAATCTAAAACCATCTTTATTTGATACGTACGGTATTACTTTCAATGTGTGTTTGGCTTAAAATCACGGAGGTCAAAAGTGTTATAATTACATACTCATCTCACCTTACTTAGCCAACGGCTTTAGTTTGACAATGCAATTAATGTGAAAAGAATTTTACCTCTATAAAGGGCTGCACTATAATACTGTCCATTGAAATTAGCATAAGAAAACCTTCATTTTGTTGTTGCAGAAATGCATTTTATCTCCCGCCCCCTCGTATTCGTCTACACATTACTTCACTCGAGACGAATCTTGAGTGACGTGGGTTTATGTTCTACTGTATTACAACAATAGTTGTCAGGGTTTGTTAACTCCGTGGCTGGGGGGGGGGGTCAACATTTTCAAGTATCAGTGAAATATTCCTGGGAAGAAGGTCGAGATTTTGAAGCAATCACAATCAGCGAGAAAGCTGGAAATACTACAGTGTTCCCGGTTGACTGAATACAACCCTGTCAATAGCATTAGCATAAAGACGTTGGATCAAAAACGGAATAATTGTCCGCAACTGAAAGCTTATGGAGGTCCTATTTCTACCTATTTTTTTTTATTAGACGCATAAAATTCTTAGGAAAGGTCTTACAGAAAGAAATTAAAAAAAAAAAACTACAATCTAAAAAATAAAACAAAAAATAAAAACTTTTCTAAAAAAATATGCGTACAGCCTCCATTCTGACGCTGGTAACTTGAAATTAAACACGCCCACAATATAAAGGACAGTTTCTATGCAGACACGTTGATCATGGCCATACCATAGACCTACCTACTGTTGATAGGTCCATGGTCATACTAGTATACAATAATATGTGTACAATAACATTTCAGCTTGAAGGTGCTTGCTCATATCAAGTTAAAGCGGCATGTCAGCTCTTGTTTCACTTTTCTCCGAGTGGTATTGTTGTTTGCTCACATCATGGAGGTAATAAGAATTACCTCCATGCTCACATGAAATTGGTATTGTTTGCGCATGCGTTATGAGTATCTTTGTTAAAACACACAGACTTGTTCAAAATATGACTACTAGTATGTTTAGCTGCGAGGGTTTCCTAATGTGACTGTGTCATGGCGCCGAGCCGTGGTGTGAAACCGGCAACTGACGCACGTACTGACACACCTTTTCATGAAGCCCGGTATTGTTCAAGTTGCTAAGCAAAGACCGCCGTCAAGGACGAATACATATACATATATACCAGTATAAACACTATGAAACCAACTTCAAAATTCTGTAACTTCCATGTGATCAACTCACGGTAAAACTGGCTACTTGAATCTCAAACTACTAGTATTAGTTGTACTACTAGTATTAGTTGTCAGGGCTTGAATTAGTTGTCAGGGCTTGAATTATTGAATGACATGGGATATTAGGGATTTATGCCTAGTGCCTAGTGGGAAAATACTATTGAATACTAAGATATTTAATTCGGAACGTCCACAATATAGTACACAAACAACGGTTCGATACATACTAACTTAGACAATTGTATAATAAATATATGTATTTAAAAAAAAAACGTTTGACAGGGGAAACTTGAAAATGGGATTTGTCATTTTATTTCCTTATCGGGTAATTATCTGATAATGGTCACACTTATTATTATAGAATTGAAAACCATGGGCCATATTTCGATATGTATTATATGGAAGGAATGTTGGATTTGCAAAGGATTATAGGCTAAAATATTGAACACTAGAGGGCGTTTGGGGGGGGGGCTGGTTGGAAGCCTCACTTATATTAATATCTTCAAGTAATAATGTGTCGTAACGCTACTGGAATTTACCCCACATAATAAATAAATAAATAAATAATTAAAATTACGATACCATTAATTACTCCCTCTTATAAGGTCTATTTATTTTTTACTATAAAGAATTGTACATTTTGTTTTGCATTTATTAATGATCTTTATGTCAGTGACCTCATAAGTTAAAATAAACTGAGCTAGGTACGCTATGGTTTTTCTGACACGTACCACGACCAGCAGACTTTTTTTTGACCTTTTATAATAAATACTAATATAAAATTACTTTCTCTTAGCAAACCGTTATATTTACCGGGGATTGTCGAGGATAGCCGATAGCAAATACAGAGAAAACGCAATAGAACAATTTCATTGGGGTCACTGGCGAACACATATTACTATTTAAGAAGAAACACTAAGCATATTCTCCGTAACAGTAATTTATCACCTAGCCCAGACATCTCGTGGGGGGGGCACTCTAATGTTCATGAGCACACATTATTACATCACAGTGGTTACTAGGCAACTATTGTTGCAGCTTTTTAAATATCAAACACATGTACGCGAATAGTATGAACAAGTAATATTAAATTTTCGCCAAATGTATTTATGCTTGTACTAGAATGCTTAAAAACATGGCCAATTTCTGACGACTGAAAGGATATCATTCCCAAAGTCTCATAGAGTTGCAGCACGCCGCGGAACGAAACTTTTGGGGGCACAGAATGGATACACATATCAAACATTTGTCTAAGAATCTCAATTTACATATTACTAGGTTTTTTTTGGTACGGCCATGGTGGCATGAATCGTTTCCACCAGAACAGTGCTTTTTGGTCATGGTGATTTGCAAGAATTATTCTTTCGTCAAATGCTAAACATAGCAACTTGATCGTAACAGGGCGTGAACACCCAATCCTCTATTTTGAACATAACTATTTGCAAGGAGTGGCATGCTAGTATTACAAATTGTTTTATTGAATGTGATATCAGAAACTTTCAACTTTTTTTATTTGATTTTAAAAATCTGACCAAGCATCTTTTAAATTTTATACAATTGTTGATATTTAACTCAGGGCTCTCTGTATGAATTAGCTCCACCTTTCAAGTTCTTACATTCATCTATGAGAGGTTTACAGATGCAATATAGACGAAATGTAATTTTTATTATTGTTGTTTGATACGAGATGTTGATAAATAAATTGGACTGTGATTCAATATCAAAAAACGAACACGTGGTTATTGTAGCACGTAAGTATTCACTCAAATGAAATTCTCCAATACGCATGTGCGGTTGTTTTGGTGCGTACAACAATCACTGCACATGCGTATTAATGTTTTTGACAACTTATCGAATACTGTTGTGTGTTCTGCAGGCGCGGCAACATTTTTAGTTTATGATAAATCGTAAATCAATTTCAAATAGGTCTACAATATCGCACAACAATATTAAAAATACATGTTTTCGTCTACACCTGGAACGGAACTACGTCATAGAATGTTCTACGTTTTAAAATCAACTTTGAAGTAATCCCGAGCAACCAAATTATATATATGTTGCACGTGTAAGGGTTAGTCTTGTTGCACTGTTCAGGCGATTCTCAACAACTATCATCTATTCTCTGAGAGTTTTCATGCTGGTGGTTGACAGGCGGTGAAAATACCCGGATGTCAACCCCGAAGATACTGCACCTTTAAATCTCAGACAACTAATAAATATAAACTGTCCATAGATTAGTTTTTAAATATTTAATAAAACACTCGTATGTATTGTTGCTGTCAGGGGACAACACTCTGTGTAGAGTGATCTTGTCACGTTTACCATGACAGCCAGTCACATATTTTGGTGGCAAAATAAATTGTGGTTTTCTATGAATTCTCCAGACTATATTTCAGTCAGCCATGCATATGCGTTCATATTACTAGTAAACCAAATGCTTTTAGTAAGACTTAAAGGGCGGTGTTCGTCGCACCAAGAATGCGCGAGATCGAGGTCTCATAAGTTGGCGTCTTTGACCAACTAGTACAAACTGGGAGGTTTTAATTCGGTGATTTTTTGTGACTGGAAGGTAACGAAGAGTCACCGGCGGTAATTGGGACAAGTCGCGCCTAGGTCAAAACTCGGGCTCGTGATGCTATTAGAAGGGCGCACTGGATTGTGGTAAAATCAATATTTATCAACACAAATGACTCACATGCGCAGCCCGACGACCACCGCTCTTTAATCATGTTGAGGTTTACCAGTAAATCCGCACGCAATTAATGCCTGAATCGTGACAGTTCATCTGGCCTGATGTTTTTTATGTGTTCAACTAAAATGATTTAATCAAATGCCAAATGTCTTCGGCATTTCGCAAACGCATTGCGGAATTTGGTTAAAGCGCAGTGGTCGTCGCGCAGCGCGTGTTCGAATTTCATGTAAATAAACAATGTATTTTACACGCGTTGTATACGTCGCTGTGAGTCCCATATCGAACAGGACGCGGCGCGACGACTGCCGCCCTTCAACCCATTTTAAATTACTTGAAAAACATTAGGCCAGAGGGAGAAAAACGTTTGCCATGTCCATCTTTCATGGTAGCCAAGACCAACATAACCACGACGTCTGTCAATTACTGTAAAGCAGGTGCATATCATGGCAATTAACATTTAGAATGTAACGACCCCCCCCCCAAGACATTAAATGACATTCCCTGGCTGTGACTAATTCATATTCAAATTAGCACTAATCGTTTATAACGATATAAATTGTTTGATATTCCGATTTAAAAAAAATACGTATATTTAAATATGTACTTAGGTATGTTGTAGGTCAATTAGAGAATTGTATTTGAAACATTGAATTAAAGTTACTACTGTATATCTGTTTGAACAACCAAATAAATAATTGTTTCCTATTTATTTCATTCAAATAAAACGTAATAATATGAATGAATATAGTGGCATGTTTTAATTAATATAGTGGCATGGTTTTCTCCAGCACACATTTAAATGAGATATATATATATATATATATATGACGGGAACAGTTTGCTTAATGTTTGTATTAAATTGTCTGAACTTTAGGAGAGTTATGTTTTTTTAATAGGGTTTATTAGCTTCTCCGGAATTTGCTGGAGATAGCATTCCCTACTAGTTACATATTCCACTGAAGACTACTTCACAGACTAGTGCAGGTAATGATAATTGTATAGTAAGTATCAAGCTGTAAGGTATTATAAAGAAAAGGATCGTTGGGGGCGCTCTAGATGACAACATTGCATTCTTGCCAAATATTCTGTACTCAGACTGAATTCCGGCCGCAGTTTAAACCAGAATTCCAGTTTCCGTCGAATAGGAGTAAGCATGTGAACTGGTTGTCTGCAAATATTCAAAATATTGTCCTCTCATCATTCATTTTATATTATGCAACCATATTGTTTGCTCTACTTTCACGACAATTTCTCTACAAATTCATAATTTTTTGAGAAAATTGGTCATAAATTTCATGACAATCTTTATTGGTTTATCATGTAAAATCATGAAGTTTTTGTCTCATGGCACTATGGAATATCATTCTTTTGTGTGTTACAGTGGCGTATTTTAAGATATTTTTAGAACAATTCCACAGAAAACTTGCATTTTTTTGACACTTTTCGAAACCAAGATTTTTGAAATAATTGAGGGCAATATTTTTTCAGCCTATGTCACCAGCCTACAATTTAAAATATGACATATTATATTTGCCACAGGAACCTATGGTAAAAGCATTATAATACTGACGAAATGCAACCATCATTTTTTCGGAAATTAGGCTGAGTAATATCAATATCCTTATATTGCCTGGAAGTACAATTTATTCGAAAATGAATAAATTCTTAGTATTTGCAGTCATTAAATGGGTAAATTCAATTTTACACTGTGAATTCATTTTATGTAAGCTCATTTTTACAACAATCCCAGTGAGACGACAATGACCAAATGACTTTAAGTTGCCTTGTTCAATTGGTAATAACTAACATGCATCAACCACACTGCATTTGAGGATAGATTTGTCAAATTGCACGAGCAGGCACGCTTACATGATTGGTGGAGTTGTGTTCAATTGTAACAAATCTACCCCACAATGCACGATATAATTAATAATTCAGGATCTCGATATAATCAATGTTAATACATGTATCATCTAGACAATGGCAACATGCCTTGCGGTAGTTTATATGGTCATGTTGGTTCACGTTAAAATGTAGTGTACACAAGAAAGTCTTTCCTCAAAATGCATCTCAAGGCTTTGTGTGAACCTGGTCTGCCTTCAGTAAAGGTGATTTAAAAAAAAAAAAGGCAACTTGATTGCAAAATTGCTCTCACCACACCACCAAACTATGGCCAGCAAATGGCATTTTCAGCAAATTTAGAAATTCCAATTTTTACTTCTATTGCAAAACAAAAAATAATCGTCCAGACTGAAGCCAGTTGAGAGTTGATCAATGTAACAATTGTATGCCTCAAGAGTGACAATTTTGTTCACGATAAAAGCTTTATGCAGACATGTTCCTTAATTATGTATGACCCCACAAACACACAAGGTCACACTTTATGCAGGTATTAGATTTTATTTTACATATATTAAATTTGCATGCATATTTATAGAAAATTTATTTAGAATATTTTGACTGCATGCGTGTGTGGCAGCAGTGAAATAGGTCTATGGAGAATGAAACGTAATACTCACACCTGTAATGATACAGGTCATGCACAGATGCAGCATAATTATTGGAAATCTGGGAAGCATTAATTTTAGTTACATGGCTAGGAAAATGTGAGCATACCAGACAAGAGTCGGATGAGGTTTGAACCAAAGAGTTCACAAATCATGTTTTCATAATTGGATCTCTATCACAATTGTCACTAAAATTCCACTATACATAGACCATGCAAACATTGAATTGTTGAAATGGTAAATTTGTTTTCTTCTAATTTCACATATTCAATGCAGGGTGGGGGGGGGGGGGTGTATGGTGTACAACAAATTCCAAGGGTGGGAAGCATTACTCGTATTTTAACACGATTTTGGTAAATACAAGATAAAATTTCTCTACTTGATTCAGAGACTTACTTTAGGGTTCTTTACACGACACATCTAGAACACAATTCCAGATGGGCTGGGCAAATTACGAGCTTTACTGTAAAAGCATGCATTTTTACTGTGTTTAATTTCACTATTTTGTTTCGAATAACTCCACTGGAATTCTAGGTTTAACAAAATTAGCAGGGTTAGAAACAAGTTTTACTGTCATTTTGTATATTCACATGGATTTAATTTAGAGAGTTGGACTTATTAAAACCAGCAAATAACGCATTTACAGTATAGGTATAAGCAACTGTTTTATGATTGAGGGGCACATGTTAAAACGTGTTGCTACCGATTGGTCCCTGCTTTAGGGGGCAATCTGAAACAACCTTGCAAGAAGTTTTGCATCAAATCTAAATCCAGGAAAGTGGGAGTAATTCACTGTTTAATCAATCAGCGATAGAGCAGTAATAAACTTAATATACGAGGACTGAACGTTTTATTGACATTTTATACATGTACAAAGAAATACAGAATTGTCTATAAATTGTAAGACACAAAAGGTGGTTGCGTGTCAAGTCCATCTCGTTTATACAGAACAAGGGCCCAGAAGAAAGTTGTGCATAGAAAGAATTAAGATTAAGAGAAATTATAGTTGAAGATCTTTCTCTTATACCACATACATGGCCAATCAGTTTAGCTTCCTGTGTTCTGACGTTACTTTTAGATGGTGGATTACGATCATAATTTATCACACCGAAATAAATATTTAGAAAAAGGAAATAGTGTTTGTTTTGCATCTCGTGGTTTATGCTTCTTCTGCATCCTCTTCCTCTTCAAATTCACCCTCTTCTTCAGCTGTTGCATCCTGGTACTGTTGGTATTCAGACACCAAGTCATTCATGTTGGACTCAGCTTCAGTAAATTCCATCTCATCCATACCTTCACCAGTGTACCAATGCAAGAAAGCTTTACGACGGAACATAGCAGTGAACTGCTCGGATACACGCTTGAAGAGCTCTTGGATGGCAGTGCTGTTACCAATGAAGGTAGCGGACATCTTAAGACCACGGGGTGGAATGTCGCAAACAGCAGTCTTCACGTTGTTGGGGATCCATTCAACGAAGTAGCTGCTGTTCTTGTTCTGGACGTTCAAAAGCTGTTCGTCAACTTCTTTCATGGACATACGGACCACGGAAGATTGCAGCCACTGTCAGATAACGACCATGACGTGGATCACAGGCAGCCATCATGTTCTTGGCATCAAACATTTGTTGGGTTAATTCTGGCACAGTAAGGGCACGGTATTGCTGGCTACCACGGCTGGTCAATGGAGCAAAACCAGGCATGAAGAAGTGGAGACGTGGGAATGGTACCATGTTGACAGCCAATTTACGGAGATCAGCATTCAACTGACCAGGGAATCGCAAACAGGTAGTAACACCACTCATGGTTGCAGATACCAAATGGTTCAAGTCACCATAAGTAGGAGTTGTAAGTTTCAATGTACGGAAACAAATGTCATAGAGGGCTTCATTGTCAATGCAATAGGTTTCATCTGTATTTTCAACAAGTTGATGAACTGAGAGGGTGGCGTTGTATGGTTCAACAACAGTGTCTGATACTTTTGGTGATGGTACAACACTGAATGTGTTCATGATGCGATCTGGATATTCTTCACGGATCTTGCTGATGAGGAGTGTACCCATACCTGAGCCAGTACCACCACCAAGGGAGTGTGTAAGTTGGAATCCCTGCAGACAGTCACAGCTTTCTGCCTCCTTGCGGACAACATCAAGGACTGAATCAACTAACTCAGCACCTTCTGTGTAGTGACCTTTAGCCCAGTTGTTACCAGCACCACTTTGACCTACAGGACAAGAAAAATGAAATATTACAACATGTACAAAGGACAAGCAAACACCGACGTAACACACGTGTATTTCATATTAAGTCGGGTAAACGCTAACTTACCAAAAACGAAATTGTCTGGTCTGAAAATTTGTCCGAATGGACCTGATCTGACCGAGTCCATGGTACCGGGCTCCAAATCGACCAAGACAGCACGGGGAACATATTTTCCACCTG